CGCAGAGACATGAGTCCGATGATGAGGACTCGCAGTCAGCGCACGCCTCGCAAGATGTGTCTCAAGACGAGGACGACTCGGCCACTGAAGAAGAGACCGAAGAGGAGATCATGCGATCCATTCAGAAAGAGAAGAGTCCCATGAATTCACACGAAATGAACGGACACTGCGATGACGTCTATTTAGGGCCCAATAGTGTTCAGACAGACACTCATAATGAGGACAACGACCACAGAAAAGATGAGAGCATTCATTCAGATAATGAGGATGTTTTGGATGAGACCAACAATTGTTCGGATGATAAACTGGACAAAGAGGTGTCCAGTAGTGACCCAAACAATGAGTTTAACAATAATAATAGTGATACTAATAATAACCATTGCATTGATAGTCACGTGAGACCTGAATCTGAAGACAAGTCAAAGAATAGTGAAGACAATTGTAACGAGAATTTAGACAATTCTAGTGTTCAAACAAATAGTGAACCGAATGTCGACAACAATACCAAGAAAAGCGATTCCAAGTCAGAAACGGATCAATTGGACACTGAAGGCAAACCACAGGCAAGTGATACGCAGAGAATGACTGCCATTCCTAAGAAGCACAGGTGGCAGAACAGGGCTGTGGATGAAGACAACGATTTAGTGCACATTAATAGTAATAATAATATTAATGTTTATTCAAACATTAATGACAGCAATAATGACAAACCGTCAGAAAGTGTGGCAAAACCAGTGACCGAACAGGTATTTCATTGAATGAATAGTTTATGTGAGCAAACAGAGCACTCGGAGGCCTAACCGCACAAACATGTAAATTGTAATCACAGTATTGTTTGACAATTGCTTTGTATTCATGAATTAGCATTGAATGAATTCATTTGATATTTTACATTACATTTCATAACATCTCATTTGTAATTGATATTAAATATTAATTATACACTCTATTAAAATTGAATAAAAATACAAATAATTAAAACTTATAACTTATGTCTCATAAGAAAGTGATTCATTAAACAGTTTTGATATCCCATATGATATACCGGTCTACGGTATATAAACGGTATTCATAACACTGTTTAATACACTAATTTAATAATGTCTATTTTATTACTTATTTATCGTGTTTTAGACAAATATATGACAATAATGAAAGACATTATTTGAAATGATTTTATTTTAAACTTAGATTTAGACATTATTTTAAGTTATAAATTAGAGTCAATCGCCAAACATATATAAACTCTTAGATATATCTTAGATCAATGTTTGCTGACATATATAAAAGTATAGATTTGTTTGCAATTTATATTAATTTTTATTTTAATTATAATTTAAGACAAACCAACAAAATGATAGACATTTGTCGGCTCAACGAACTGAGCCCCCAGTCTATACGCAAATGCCTGCAATGCCTGTTAATACAACTGATAGACGGCCGGCACATGAATCCACACCTCAGACACAACCCATGATCAGTGAATCGACACAACTGTTGGTTTCAATACCGACCCCTTCTGTGCCATCACTGGTCGCGCATTTATCGCAACCAATACAACAGTCAACCCGGAGTTCAGCACCGAATACACCACAATCTCAGACTCCAGTCCATCATTCGGTGTCTTCGCCAATGACTCCGCAGCAGATCTACTCTCCCATCGGTCCTCAATCACAACAATCATCTCCATTATCTCACACACACTCACAGCCATCGACACCATTAGCACCGCAACAGTCGCCCCAACAGTTCATTCACGTGCCGTCACCACAACCGCAACCACCACTTCCGCCATCGGCGCCACCCGTTGTCTCATCGAAGTCATCGCGAATGCATCCATCACTGCATCAGATGCCACCGCAACCTGATATCGCGCCGCAAATACCACCAGTGGTTCCACCCATTCATATGCCACAAACCAGTTCCCATAGGAGTCATCGAAACAAATCCCATTCGAGTTCAATATCCAAATTACAGCAAATGACAAACGGAATCACCGAACCATTGGCCCCATCGGCTGTACCTCAAGGTTTGTCTCGTTTCCATCCAATTGTAATCAAATTTATTGCAATCTCTGTGTCGTCTTAATTAGGTCTTCAGACAAACAACGCGTTGACGGCACCGGCACTTCAATACCAGCAACAATTCAGTCAGAGTTCAGCTCAGAGTTCCAGATATCAGAAGCAATTTGGGTCACA